AACCACATCTGTTTGTGTTGTCCCGTTTCTATGGCCAGGCAGTGGTCACTGAGCCTGTCTTCTCTGCGTAGTTCAGTTTGTCCGTGTCTCCTAGTTTCTCAGGCCAGGCAGGAGTTACTGAACATGTCCTCTCTGTACAGCCAGGTCTACCAGTGTAACCCAGTTTCTATGGCCAGGCTGTGGCCACTGAGCCTGTCTTCTCTGTGTAGTTCATTTTGTCCGTGTCTCCTAGTTTCTCAGGCCAGGCTGGAGTTACTGAGCATGTCCTCTCTGGACAGCCAGGTCTACCAGTGTAACCCAGTTTCTATGGCCAGGCTGTGGCCACTGAGCCTGTCCTATCTGGGTAGTTCGGTTTGTCTGTGTCTCCCAATTTCTATGGCCTGGCTGTGGTTCTTGTCCTCATTCGGTATGAAATTCTTCCTGACAGTTTCTATGGGTCACTTAACTTGCACTTTCTCAGGGTGTGTTCCTCCCTGCTGTCCCTCAACCAGGTCAGATAATCAGCCAGTGTGGATATTTAGGACCCAGTAACATTCCCAGTTTGTTTTGTATGCGTCTCTCAGCGTGTGAGGTAAAAATCTGTCTAGGTGAACTCATGGTACTTTGTTGACCTCTGCAGGTTTCTTCTGTGTACTACAATTTCAACAATATTTGTGACCAAAGTACTGCATACTCTTAATAGATTTGTGTAAGGTAGCGTCTTAAAACATTTGCCATGCTGCATACATTTTTGCACATTGTCTTATCCCAGCACAGTAGAAGTATGGTAGCTGCAAATATATCTTTGCTCTACCAAGTCAGCAATGTGGAGAAATTTGTAGGGGTTTTAGCAAACGTAAAGATTGCTCTAGTAAATCAATAATAATTCATTTATAATTGCTTACACTTATATAGCGCTTTCTGGACACTCCACTCAAAGCGCTTTACAGGTAATGGGGACTCTCCTCCACCACCACCAATGTGCAGCCCCACCTGGATAATGTGACGGCAGCCATAGTGCTCCAGAACACTCACCACACACCAGCTCTCAGTGGGGAGGAGAGCAGAGTAATGAAGCCAATTCATAGATGTTTGCTGTATAAACGGATCTTCAGATCATCACTGTAAATGTGCTCTTTGTTCACAATTGACACTTCTGGTTAAATAAAGAATTTACAAATCTATCTTTCCTGCTATCTGACAATTACTGTGTTGGCATAATAAAAGATGTCCCAAAAGTGAGATATGGCACACAGTAATTAAGAATCAGAGAATTTTTTTTGAAGTACTGTATTTGATTATTTGTCCACTAGCAGAAATATTTATTAAGTGCACTATGATATAACTATT